GCTGTCAAACCAGGGTCTTGGGGAGGCCTCCACCTCTGTTTCTTACTCTCAGGCCTTGAGACTCAGGCACTTGGCCCGGGGGATCCTCAGGATTACTCATGATTACTTATGGGTTAAATAGGCCTTTGTGGGTTTGCTTGGGAACTTGACTATCATTTTTAACATTGTTTATATGAAAAAATGTGTTTTAAATTTCAAAAAAAGCAAATTTACCAAATATTTAGGGCATGATTATTTGTAGGTTATCAGCAACTTGTATATCTAATGTCAGTAACCAAAACCCACTGCCATTGAGGCGGTTCTGACTCATAGCAACCCTATAGGGCAGAGTAGAACTAACTGCCCCATAGGGTTTCCAGGGCTATAATCTTTACTGAAGCAGACTGCTACATCTTTCTCCTGTTGAGCAGCTGATGGGTTCGAGCTGGTGGGTTTGACCGTTCGATTAGCTGCCAAGCACTTTAACCACTGTGCCACCAGGGCTCCTTGTCAGTAACACAAGTGGATGGTAATGTCATTAGTTCTGCTGATGTCAGGGCCATTGCAGAGAAGCCATACCAGTGATCGTGTGGGGGAGGAGCACAAAATGAAAAGGAGCATGTTGTACTCTCCTTTGTAGTATTCTTTATTGTGCAAAATTATTGAAATTGAAGAAGACTTGGCCTACTATGTTACCTGCAGTATTTAAAGAGAGTCATACTATTTATGCCTCCTCCTGCCCCCAGGTTCCCTTTTTGTACTACTTAATATCCATATGTAATTTTGCAGGTAGCTTCAGTCATAGCAGAAATAGAATTTTGTATTTGACATTTTCTATACTACTACGGTTTCCATGCTACTAATTTTTTTTTTTTTATTGTACTTTAGGTGAAGGTTTACAGAACAAATATTTTCTCATTAAACAGTCAGTACACATATTGTTTTATGACATTGGTTAACAACCCCACAGCATGTCAACACGCTCCCTTCTTGAACTGAGAGGACATTTTTTTTTGGTGAAAATATACATAGCCAAAGATACACCATTTCAAAAACTTCTGCATGTACAATTCAGTGACGTCGATTACGTTCTTCTAGTTGTGCTGCTATTCTCACTTTAGATGAAGGTTTACGGAACAAAATAGTTTCTCATTTAACAGTTAGTACACATATTGCCCTATGACAATGGTTAAGAACCCCACTACATGTCAACACTGTCCTTACTCAACCTTGGGTTCCCTATCACCAGCTTTCCTGTCCCCTTCTGCCTTCTAGTCCTTGTCCCTGGACTGCTGTCATGCTACTAATTTTTAATTATGCAATAGGAATACACCTGGATTTTATTTCTGTGTTGCCATTTTGTTTATACTTGGGGAAATACTGAGTTCTTTAAGATAATACCTTATTTTTGTGCCTCATATTTCTTTACCATTTTCTGTAGTGTACTTTTTCCAGAATTAATTATACATGATGTTCATAGAGTTCAGTAAGATCTTTTCCCTATCAAGAGAAGAATAATGTTCTTTAAGCTACAGTAATAAGTTTCAGTTAAAAATCTTTGCTCTGCTTTTGCTATACCAAGTAAGTCACAGAAACTCTAAGGATGCCATTTGACTTGTAATCATATTGGAGGTTTTGCCTTTGACATTTTACCAGACTTATGTCTTTTTAAAATGCAGTATTTTTATGAGTTACTAAAGTAATACATGTTTATTATTTATGAAATGGACAGAAGAAAAAAATTCCTCATAATTCCACCACCTATAGACTGTTGACATTTTTGTATTATTTCTTCCAGTCTTTTTCATCTGTTTCTTTTACTTATTTGAGATCATTTTGAGTCCTGCTCTTCTCATTTATCATAGGAAAATGCTTATGCTGTAATGTTATTATTAACATTGGAAGGGCCACTTAGTCTAGTGGTTTAAAAGTGGCCAGTGGTTTTGTAGCCAGGCTGCCTGGCTTCAAATCCTGACCCTAGTTATAAATTACTGGTTGTGTAACATAAGTTATGTTACTTCTTTGTGTCAGCTTCCTCATCTGTAAAATGGAATGTCACTAGTACATAGTAAGTGGGACTGTTATGAGAGTTAGTATCTGTTAAAAGTTTTTAGAGTCATGCCTAGCACATGCTATGTGCTATATGTGTGTTTGTTATTATCATTGTAACAATTACCTAACAGTCCATTACATGGATATACCATATCTAAACCTGTTGCCATCGAGTTGATTCCTACTCATAGCCACCCTGTAGGACAGTAGAACTGCCCCGTAGGATTTCCAAGGCTGTAATCTTTACGGAAGCAGACTGCCACGTCTTTCTCCTGTGGAGTGGCTGGTGGATTCAAACTGCTGACTTTTCAATTAGCAGCCAAGCATGTAACCACTGTGCCACCAAGGCTCCTTGTACCATATCAATTACGTTATTATTGGACATTTAAGTTGTAATTTTTATTGGCTTTAATGTATTATTAACTTACAACTACCTCCAAATATAATTGACACCTTGGTTTTTCAGTGCTGACAAATATTTGTGTTGTATGGGTCCTCTTTAAGGATTGTTCAACAAGGTATACATTGAGTATAAAGACCGAGAATTTCTAAGAATTCAGTACAAATCTAGATAAATGAGTGGGAAAGAGTAATTATTTATGAGCAGAGTATTTACAAAACTTCTGGGGGAAAAAACAATGAATTAAAAATTTTGGTGTAGAAATCAACCACTGTGGAAATTGCTGCTGTTTTAAAATATTTCTCTTCTACTGGCTCTTAGTTTTCATTTTAGTTTAAGTTAGACTTATCTAAGTTGCCTAAATATTACTTTAGGTATAAGAATTTGAATAACTGCGTTGTTCTCTAATTTTTCTCTACATTTCTCATATTGTTCCTCTTTCCCAGCTCTTCCCATCGTGTCCTCTGGTACCTTATTTTCATGCTAACGGACCTTACCGTACTTTTCCAGAACAAACCATGTAACATGGTTAGGACAACAGATTTTGGACTTAGATCCTAGCGTATCCATTTTTTATCTGTGTGACCGTGGTCGAGTTACCTCTCTCAGCCAAAATTTCTTCATTTGTGAAATGGCAACAATAGTAGCTGCCTTATAAAGTGGTGAGAATTAAATGAGATAGTTTAGGGCCCAATACATGGTAAATACTCAGTAAATGTTAGGTACTGTTCCTGTTCTCACTCATACAAATTGTCACCACCACTGCCACCCCCACTGCCACCATTTACTAACAACACCATCACTCCCTCCATTTTCTGTTCTGCTTGGACAGAAACCTCTTTCCCAGGACCTAATTTTTCTTTTAATCTCTCCTTGGAGCTTGCTCCTTTTCTAGCATCCAGCCCCTGTTTCATAAAACTAAGAGGTCAACATCCACCAAGTTTCCCACTGCAACTTTCAAAATTTGACCAATTTATAAATATCCCACTTAATTTGGGGGCTTACAAAATAAAATCTGTTCTATCATCACCATTAACCCCTCCCTGTCTTAATCATCTACTGACTTCTTAGTCACTTTCCTGTGTTCACAAACCATACACTGTATAAGGGCTGCACCTTGACTATGGTTGGCACATGTGGTTGGCACATATTTATTGACTTGATATATAAAGGACTTTGGCCCCTGACTCAAAGCTTTCTTTCTACTTCAAGTTTCATTTTTAGGGGATACTTATGGACGTTCCTGTACTAATTTCCTATTGCTGTAACAAATTACAGTTGACCCTCATTATTTGTGGATTCCAGATTCCATAATTCGCCTATTTGCTAAAAATACTCTATGGATATTCGCACAGTCATTCGCACACATGTGCATGCAAGAGCTGCAAAAAATTCCCTGCCGAGGTTGAAGAAGGCTTTACTAATGCAGTGTTCGTGGGGACTGTGTAGCACATAATTGCCATGAATAACAAGAATTGTACCATTAACTTGGTGGCTCAAAACAACACAAATCTGTTATCTTATAGTTCTAGAGGTCAGAAGTCTGAAATGGGTCTCACTGGGCTAAAATCAAGCTGTTGGGCAGGGCTGTGTTCCTTGTGGAGGCACTAGGGAGCAATCCGTTTTCTTGCCTTTTGCAGCTTCTAGGGGCTGCCTACATTCCTTGGCTCATAGATCCCTCCTATCCTCAAAGCCCAAAAGGACTGGTTCAGTCTTCCTCATGCTGTATCACTCTGGCATTGACTCTCCTGCCCCCCTCTTTCACTTACAAAGACCCTGGTGATTATATTGAGGCCCCTCTGGATAATCCAGGTTAATGCCTTTGTTTTTAAGGTCAGCTAATTAGCAGCCCTCCTTCCATCTGCAACCTTAATTCCCCCTCAGCATGTAATATAACATATTCACAGGTTCCAAGGATTGTAATGTGGACATTTTTGGCAGGCGTCATTCTGCCTACCACAATCCATAGCTAATACCTTTTCTACATTGTTCCTTGGTCTCAATTCCAGTTAGTTTATCTCTGTTCCACTTTAGTCACTCATAGTCATGGTCATACTCTGAACTTTTTCATGCCAAAATGACTCCAACTCTGAAATCTTAAACTACAGAATTTTATTTTCAGACCACGATTTCCAATCCTACTATTTCTTGGACAAGTCTGCAGGGGCCAGATTATAAAGTCCTTACTTACTATATTAAGGAGCCCTAGTTGCACAGTGGTTAAAGAGACTGACTGCTAGCCGTAAGGCCGGCAGTTTGAAACCACCAGCGGCTTCTCGGGAGAAAGATATGGCAGTCTGCTTCTGTAGAGATTTACAACCTTGGAAACCCTATGGGTCACTATGAGTTGGAAACAACTCGACAGCGGTGGGGTTTTTTGGTTTATTTACTAGGCTAAGTAGTCAAACTTGATCCTGAGCAAAGTGGGAAGCCAATGCAGGATTTCATCCAGGAAAAAAATTAATATGTCCAAAGCCAAGGAAACCTGCCTTTAAGTGTGGAAAATTGAATTAATCATATGTCTCAGAAACTAATCTTTTTTTTTTTCCCTTAATTTCCTTTTAACCAGAAAAAGGAAGAGGGAAAGCATGGATCCTTAGGAGATAATGAAGACAGGACCAGAGTACCTACTGACAAAAAGCAGGTGAATTTTTATGATTTAAGAAAAAAAAAATACACGTTTGTAGTAACAAAACAAAAGGAATGGAAAGTTCCCCATTTCCACTTACAAGAGAGTTTCTTATATACTCTTATACAAATTTCCTGTGTATTTACGAGACTGACTATATCTCGCCCATTTAAAAAAAAAAAAATACAGATGGGATTATTCTATACGTATACTCCTGTATCTTACCTTTTTTTTTGTTAGTTTTCAAGTTTAACTTTTTTTTTTTTAATTGTGCTTTAGGTGAAAGTTTACAGCTCAAGTTAGTTTCTCATTCAAAAATGTATGTACATATTGTTTTGTGACATTGGTTAAAATCCCCACAATGTGACAGCACTCTCCCCCTTTCCAGACCGACTTCCCTGTGTCCATTTGTCTAGTTTTCCTGTCCCTTCCTGCCTTCCCGTCTTGCTTTTGGGCAGGAGTTGCCCATTTGATCTCATATGTTTGATTGAACTGAGAAGCATGTTCCTCACGTGTGTTATTGTTTATTTTGTAGGGCTGTTTAATCTTTGTCTGAAAAGTGGGCTTTGAGAGTGGTTTCAGTTCTGAGTTAGCAGAGTGTCTGGGGGCCTTAGTCTTGGGGGTTTCTCTAGTCTCTGTCAGACCAGTAAGTCTGGTCTTTGTTTTTTGTGTCCAGGACTCTCTATTGTGATCCCTGTCAGAGTGGTAGGTAGTGGTAGCCAGGCACCATCTACTTTTTCATCAAATTTAACACCTTACATTATTAGTTCAGATAGACTGTATTGGTTATCAGATGCTCCTACACATCCAGCTAGGTATGCCAAGAATGCAAGGCCCTGACATGTTTTTACCTGGCCATTTGTCAGAGTTGTGTTTGCAGTAAGCAACTTTGAGGGATGAGGCAATGTCTCCCTTTAGGGTAGATAGCAAGTTTTCTTACTGCTTGTTATAAAATAACAGGATTCCCAAGCTTGGTGCTCCTCTCCTATAACACAACCCACTGGGTGTCCAGGCATCCACCTGGGCCCATCTGCCTTGTCCTTGTGGTGCTTGCAGGCAAGGGGAACCGTCACAAACATGATTCTGTTACTGCTTGCTGTGCTGTAATAAAGTCTTTTGTCTCTGACGCAGGAATCTCATGCTTTCTGCCAGCATCCATGAAGCAGTAACAGACTAACTTATTTACTTGTAAGTAGGATCAAATCAAAGCCCAGACCTGACAAGCTGTACCTTGTTCTTTTTAATATTGCATAGTTTTTCCTTGTTACTTTAATTGTTTGAGTTTTCCAGAGATTCTGATTCACTGGGTCTGGAGTGGGGTCTAAACGTTACCTCGACGATTCTGATGTACATTCCTGGAGATTTCCTAATTAGTTCTGAGGGTGAGTCTCTAAAATACCCAAAAAGAATATAGAAATAGTTTATCTCAAATATTCAGCAGTGTTCATTATAAGAAAGGCAAAAAAAAATCAAGCACCGTTTAAGTAAATGTACTAGTTCGCATACAAAATAGACTGTCCTCTTTATCCCCTGCTTTAATGGAAAACTCTGTGACTAGTGTTACATAGGCAGCTTACCAAGATAATAGTGAAGTGAAGCAAAATCAGGATCCAGAACAGTGATTCACTGAAAATATTTAGTTTTCCATGGGTTACAGTAAGTGGAAATGCCAAAATGGAATACAATTTAGGCTTTTTATTTAAGTCTGAGATGGAAAAAATTTTGTCTCAAACTTGATATTTTAGCCTTAGTTAGAAGCAAAATGAAAAAAAAAATTACAAGTTTAGTTCTTCTTGAGGTTTTTACCCTTTTAGGACTCTAGACAGGAAAATGATAAGTAAACTTGGCCGAAATGATTGTTCTAATAAAAAATAAATAGGTGAGTATGCTTCCCATTTATTAGGAACAATTTTTTAAAAAATGTTTTGAGGTCATTGTTTCTGGTTTTATTTCTATCCGCTTAACTACTTAGAAAATCTAAGGCTAAAATCATTCATCTGCAGCCATTTCCACTGGTCACAATTAGTTCGGTTTAATTGGGCAGTGTTCGTTCCATTGTGCATGGGGTTGTCATGAGTTGGGGCTGACAACAGCAACAACAAAATGAGGTCGAGCACCAGGATTTTTTAATAAGGCATCATCAGTTCTTTTCCAAAGTGACAATTTTTTAAAAACTTGCTGGAAGTATTCAAAAGTAGATAATAACATACACTTTGTATTTGAGAAAGATAAAATTCCTAAGGAGTTTTGAGATAAGGAGGGGGAAAGGAGAAAAGAGTTCACAAATTCAAGATAAATATAAAGCTTATTTTAAAACTCTGTATAGATACTGTAGATCTTTCATATTTTAGATCTTTTCTTAGATACGTATTTTGTAAGGGAAAGATTTTTGTATTCCTTTTAAATGTACTTATAGTTTAGCAGATGGTTCGTTGACTCAGAAAGGGAATTCCATGAAACCTCTATTCCTTCTTTTTAGGCATTTGATGATGTTTCATTCTCCATAGTTTGGAACGTTTATACTAACAACTGAAACTGAAACTTGACTATTTTAGTTAATATACCTTTGGTCTGATTCTTAAAGCGATTTCAGATATATTCTATTGGGGATAACTACAGAGTAAAATCTTTTGGAAGGGGGTGAGTAATAACAGATACCCAGTTCTCAGCCTAAGTTTTCCTCACGTCGCGACAACCAGTCCTGAGCCCAAGGATCAGGTGTGTATTCCTGAGACTTGTGCCTACTCTTTGGCTGCTCCAGTCTTTTGCCTGCAAAAACAGCATAGACTGTTTTGTGCCTTACGTAGAACTGATTTTTACCTTAGTCTGTTTTATCTGAAATTAATGTATTAACACCAGCTTTTTCTTTTTCTAATTAGTATTTGTATTAAGTTAGGATGCTTTAGGTTCAAAGTAACAGAAAACTTTGACTTAAAGAGAGATTCAAAACAAATGTAGTATATACACGCAATGGAATATTACTCTGCCATAAAGAGAAATGAAGTCCTAATACATGCTACACTCTGGATGAATATTGAAAACATTGTGCTGAATGAACTAAGTCAATCACAAAAGGACAATCAGTGTATGATTTCACTAAATGAAACACTTAGGATAGTCAAATATATAGAGACCACAGTATAAGCACACAGATTGGGCATACATTTTATCACTTGTGTCCAACTGACTTATAATTCCTATTATAGATAATATGGAGCCATTGAAGATTTTACCAGGAGCAGGAGGGAAGGGGAGAGGAGGAAACTTTGTTTAGCTAGCATTGAGTTTCTGTTGATAGGGATGGAAACTGTGGCAATGGATGTCCGTGATCGTTGCACAACATGATTGCTGTAATTGATTTCATTGAATTGTACATGTGAAAAATGTTGAATTGGCAAATGTTGTGTTATTTGTATTTTTACAACAATAAAGAGAGAGAGCGATCCATTAGAACTCTTTAGAATCCCAGCCTTCAGGGCTTAAATCTGAGTTAACCCACTTTCCTACCTGTGGAGTACTGCTAAGATAGCTCAAGCTTACTGCTCTGGCTTTGACTCTTCTCTTACTTTCTGATACCTGACAGTCTGTCTTCCTTTGTTTTGAGCCCGACTGTGCATTTAAAAACATTTTTCTTTGTTATAAATTATCTATATATTGGTAGTAGATGGGACCCAACCATATTAGTCTAGGCTGCCGTATTGCTAAAGATTGGTAGAACTGGTTTTTAGAAAAGAGTTGAGAATTACTTTTATTTTGTCAATATTTAAAATATTTTAAAATTTAATATGACCTCTGCTTTAGCTCTGCCTTTTACCTCTTTGATCTTTCACAAAGTCGTGTAAACTCTCTGGGCTCCACTTATCCATATATAAAATCAGAAGGTTTTCCAAAGTTTTCCTTATTACTGTCTAGAAGCTTAACACTGAAGAGTCCTACATGAGATGCTATATCTAGAAACAAGTCAGATTGACTTGATTCTTGCCCTTTACTAGATTAAAATGTAGTCATTGTTTCCTAGGAAAAATTAATGATAATTACATGCTTAATTGTTGGGTTAAGAGAGGCTAGGTTTAGAAAATGTCTAATATAAAGTCAACACTAAATTTTCAGTAACTTTTTGGACCTAATGAGAAATGTGCTTTTGTTCAAACTGTGTTTAGATAAAGAGCTAAACAAAACTTTTATTAATAAATCCAGTGTAAGCCATGATATGATCTTTAGCTGTTATAACTAATAAATTATTATTTTGTATTTTAATGTAGGTGAAGAGAACTGGTCTTGTGGTGGTGAAAAACATGAAAATTGTTGGTCTCCACTGTTCTAGTGAAGATTTGCATGCCGGACAAATTGCTCTTATTAAACATGGGTCAAGACTGAAAAACTGTGATCTTTATTTTTCCAGAAAACCATGTTCTGCTTGTTTGAAAATGATTGTAAATGGTAAGTGTGGATAAGGCTTTATTAGGGATTAATAGCATTTGTCTGAGAACAGTCAATGGGAGTAAATTGCCTAAATGCACAGAGATAATTTTGAAATATAAATACATGTCTAAAGATAGTTTGCTACACTATAAGAGGAAGATTCAGAAGACATGGATTCCAGTCTCATCTCTGCCACTAACTAGTTAAATGACCTCAAGTGTACTAGTAGACTAATGCTAGCTGCTATAACAAATAAACCTCAGAATTTTAGTGGCTTAATAGACCAGGTGTTTGTCACCGTGTAATGATCCAGTCAGTACAGGCACTGCTGAAGAGTAGGCAGCTCTTCTCCACGTGGTTGATCCATGGGTCTAGGCATCTTCTGTCTCAATGCTGTTGTCATCCCCTAGGGCCTTGACTTCTGTACCTCCTGAGGAAGACCAAGGGAGAGAGTAGAGAAGGCGCACACATACTTCTTAAAAACCTTGGCCTGGAAGTGGCATGTGTCATTTCTGTTCATATCCATTGTGGGGCTGTCGTCCCTTGCTGGGCAGCTGTCTCCCATTGTCTGCTGCCTGTCAGTGACTACTGCATGGATATTAATAAGCGTCTGCACTGTGGAAGGAGGAGCACACATTTTCACTGTCTAGTTGTCCATCTCAGTCACACCATGCTACTCACTAAACCTCTTTGTGTTTATGATTCTGTTTTGCTGTTAGGTGAGTTTGCAGACCATTGTTTCATTTAAAAATATGTGTCTTGTACATACGCACTGTGGCAGATTGAAAAAAAGACTAATATGGTTCCTAATCCTTTCCCTCAAGGTGTTACTTGGGGCCAGAACAACAATTTAACATTCACATGTTATCTAGTATCAAACGAGTGATTCAGGCTGTAACTGATAGGAGCCCAGAGGAGACATGGTGGTCCTTGCAGGTTGGCGTTGTCTTGAAGGGCTAGGGCTTATGCTGGATTTTGATGGGTCAAATGTAGAGGAGGAAGAACACACTACTGGTCGGGGGAACAGCACGTGTGGAGTTACTGAGTTGTAAGAAGCAAGGTTCTCTAGGGGTCAGTGTTTGAAATGGAAGATTATTCTGGCAAATAATGGCAGTGAGTTATAATGATAGGTTGAGCCTCTAGTGTAGAACTGTGAAAAACTGTATGGACTTTGGGCTTTATCCTATAGATCAGAGTTCCTAGACCTGTTTTGAGCAAGAACTGTTTTTATTTACATCTGAATCTTAAGAGTAATGATCAGATTTTTGGCGAGGGCAGTGCCCTTGAGCTACAAATGGGAAGAACTTCCAGTAGAAATAGACACATGGTTAGAAGCCTCCTGGCTTGCAATGAGTATTTGAAGTGGGTATCTATGATTGTTGTTAGATTCTACAGTCTCTCCATTGTGGTTTTCAGTGGAGAAGGTAGGTATTGTAGTAGTGGTGGCATTTTTTTCTCCTTTTCCGGAGTAGCCACACGGATTGGGAATTCATTTTGTCACTTGTGTCCAACTGACTTATAATTCCTATTATAGACAGTGTGGGGCCATTGAGGATTTTACCGGGGCAGGAGGGAATGTGATTAAAATTTTGTTGTTGTTGTGATTGAATTAGAACAGGGAGAGATAGAGGCTGGGAGCTTGATTAGTAGAATATTGCACTAGCCAGGGAATAAAACAAAGTTCAGAAAATAGAGAAACAGGTTGTATTTCTATATACCATAGAGAAAGAAAAGAATGTGAAAGAACCACAATATTTGTTGATTAATGTGTTCTAGAGTCAAGGGAGAAGAAAGAATTAAAAAAAAAAAAGACTGTTGTGCTTTGTGCTGAGCTGACTGCTGAAATCACTAACAGCCTAGGAGCCAAGAATTAAAGGGAAGGTAGGGGAATGCGGCAACTCATCACTGCCTGCTGTTTTTGAGTTAAGACGTGGAAATCTGGCAAGAGAGATAATGAAGTGTGGAAAATCAGGAAGGGCCTACAACGGAAATGCTTTTATGTTGGTGTTAGAAAGTAGACCCACATATAAATAAAATTGCTATGCTAGATTAGGCTTATATGGTAAAACCTGTGAGAGCTGACACTGGACGGGGGACCACCTTGTTTTTTCTGGGTTTCACATGTTTTCCATCTTTGGGAGGCTGCAGCCTTACCACTGGTTTTAGTGGAAAATATTTGAGTTTTCCTTCTCTGACAGGTTTCTGCCTTACACAGATTCTGACTTTCGCAGGTTTTACTGTATATTATTTATTATCTTGGGTGGGAGCGTGGTTTAATTCCATGATATAGTTAAGCTACTTTACTTACAATTATTATTACTTCAGTTACAAAGTAGACATTTCTGTAGCACAGTGGTTCTCAAAGTATAGCCTGTGGACCCCTGATGGTCCTTGAGGTCAAAACTATTGTCATAGTAATACTACATTCTCACTAATAGCACCAAAATGATGGTGGGTGAAACCATTGGTACGGTTTCAAACCATGGTATGAATCAAGGCAGAGGCACCAAAATGCACTGTTGTAATCTTTGTACTCTTCACTGCCAGTTTCATGTAAGAATGTTCTTAATGAAACAGTAAAAATCATTAATTTTATTAAATCCCAATCCTTGAAGAAATAGAAGGTGTACATAAAGCTCTTTTGCTACAAACCCAAGTATGATGGTTTCGTTAAGGAAAAGCACTTATGGGATTGTTTGAGCTGCGGACTGAATCAGCCACTTCTTTCTTGGAACATCATGAACTGACAAACTGCAGTTATTTAGACTTGGATATCTGGCAGACATTTTCTCAAAAGTGCATGAAGTGAACCCGTCACTTTAAGGACAACAACTGACAGTATTTGTTGCCAATGATAAAATTTGAGCTTTCAAGTGAAAATTAGAATTTTGAAAAACTTGCATCCACCATTTTGAGCATGACAACTTCCCAATACTTGAAATCTCTTCTGATGAGATTGACAGTCTGATATTAATGAATGTGATTTTTTTAAATATTGTAAGATTAGTAAACCAGTATTTTCCCAATGGCCAATCAATGCACGATGTAACAAACCCACACGGGTGAAGAGCCCTGCAGAGTGCAGATGGGCCGATGGAGTTTAGTATCATATACAAAAAGTTCATTGATACGGTTTCAGATTCCACTTTGCGACTAACTTTTAAGAAACTATCCCTTGTTGAATTTTTGCATAGAGTTAAAGAAGAATATTCACAGTTACCTGAAATGGTTGTTAAAATTCTCCTTTTTCAGCTAAGTATCTGTATGAGACCAAATATTTTTCACATACTTGAGTGAAAACAATATATTGCAACACTGAAATAGATTGAAAGCTGTCTTCTATTAAGTTAAATATTAAAGAGATTTGGAAAAATAAATGCCTTTTTTCTGACTAGCTTATGTAGTTGTTTTGAAAAATACAGTTATTTTCATAAAAATATGTTTATGTCAATGTGTAATAAGTTCTTTATAGTTAATAAATATTTTTAAAATCTGTTTTAACTTTTTTGTACAGTAAATATCGATAGATGCAATCCACATAAACAAAAGGCATCTGGGGTCCTCACTAATTGTCAGAGTATAAAGGAGTCCTGAGTCCAGACAACGTGAGGACCTCTACTGTAGCACTTGCCACGGGTACATGAATGTTTGTCCAAAGTTTACGCTTGGATCAGGATTACTAGGAGCAACCAAGATGCTCAGATGAAAGATTTACCATCCCTGCTAATTAGGAAATAGATCCAGAGAACTCCGGCAGAGGGGAGATTGAAATGCAACCAGGGGAAACATTCTTACACAAGCTTTGTGGCCTTCATATTGCTTTGCAGTGCAGCCTCAGTAAGAGTCAGGAGTAGCAGGGAGTAGATACACCTAGACATTTGTTCAACTCAGACTTTTGAGTGCATTTGTTACTTTGAATGGTACATAATATACTAGCAAAGGGATTTCTTTGTTGATAAAATATTCGTTAATTGTTGAACTTTTTGGTGCTTACCTATGTGTAAGACATCTCATTGTTCAACCTCAGGTACAAATTAAAATTTTCGTATGTTTGTTATCCAGTTTTGTTTTCTGTTTTGTAAATTGTTTATATCTTTTTTAATCTGTTGAGGCTTTATTGTTCTCGTCAATTCATATGTGCTTTTAAATGGATTAAAAACGTCTCTGTATGTTAAAGATAACTAGCCTTTCTTCTATCACGTAGATTGAAAATTGTTTCGTTTATTGTTTTGTCTGTAATTTTGTGGGCTTAAAAAAATGAATCTTGCTTCCCCTCACCCCTGCCCCTATATCACGTGATAAGAATTTTTCATGTTTTTAATTCTTTGTGGACATTTTTGATAACTATAGTAGTATTTTATTATGAGGAGAGGACCATAATTTAACTGTTCCTCTGTTTTGATCATTTTGGTTTTTTCTGCATTTTTACTATTTTAAACCATGCTGCACTAAACATATGCATGCATGAATTTTTTTTCCTTTATTTAGAATATTAGAACAGCTTCCCAAAAGAAGAAGACTGATTCAGAGGACAAGAGCATTTTTAATGCAAGTTTATTCCAGATTCCAACTAGATTTGTACTGGATATAACTAGACAATATCAGTTACAGACTGTAATATTTATGAATGCAAGCCATTTGATTGATCACTTGGAGGGCTCTGATATAGTCGCAGAGGCTTTGGGGCCTTACTTAGCAAAACCAGTGATTCCTCAAATGCCTTCTCATGGACTCTGTCAGGGCAGCAAACTTTTCTGTAAAGGACCAGATAATAAATATTTTAGGTTTTGCAAGCTGTATGGTGTCTGTTACAACTATTCACCTCTGCTGTTGTAGTACAAAAGGAGCCAAAGACAATATAAATAAACAAATGGATGTGTCCGTGTTCTAATAAAACTTTATTTATAGACACAAATTTCAATTTCATATAATTTTCACTTGTCATGAAAGATTCTTTTCTTTTTTTTTTATCATTTAAAAATGTAAAAACCATCCTTAACCCATGAGTTGTACAAAAACAGGTAACAGCTGGATTTGGCCAATGGGCCATAGTCTGCGAATCCTCACATGACTTGCTAATAGACCTTTATTATATTGGGGCATGTAGAGCTGCATGATATGATAGCTTTCTCAAGAAAACCCTTAATTTTAACGTGTATTAGATAATTACCTTTCATATTTTGTATTTCAGCTGGAGTTAACCGGATTTCATATTGGCCTGCTGATCCAGAAATAAGTTTGCTTACTGAGGCTTCTAGTTCTGAAGATGCAAAGTTAGATGCCAAAGCAGTGGAAAGATTGAAGTCCAACAGTCGGGCTCATGTGTGTGTTTTACTTCAACCTTTGGTGTGTTATATGGTGCAGTTTGTGGAGGAGACCTCTTACAAGTGTGACTTTATTCAAAAAATTGCAAAAACACTGCCGGATGCTAACATTGACTTTTATTCTGAATGTAAACAAGAAAGAATAAAAGAATATGAAATGTTATTTTTGGTTTCAAATGAAGAAATACATAAACAAATACTGATGACTATAGGTTTGGAGAACCTGTGTGAAAATCCGTACTTTAGCAACCTAAGGCAGAACATGAAAGACCTCATCCTACTTTTGGCCACAGTAGCTTCCAGTGTGCCCAGCTTTAAACACTTTGGATTTTATTGTAGCAATCCAGGACAGAATAATGAAATTCACAATCAGAGTTTACCACAAGAAATTGTAAGGCACTGCATGGTTCAGGCCAGGTTGTTGGCATATCGAACTGGTGAGTTATATTCTTAGTTCATAAACTGGGGATGATTGGGTTGTATTTGTCTCAGAAGTAAAGTGTCCATCTTGTCTGCAGTAGAGTTCATTTACTCCTAGATACTAAACTTTTGCTGTTCATATAGAGAAGTTAGTGAGACTGTTGAGTAGACAGCTCTTTCTTAGAGCAGTTTTAGGATTCCTTGTGACCTTACATTCAGTACTACATTTATAAAACAGGGCTTGATTATCTAGGCCCTTTTTGCACAGTGGTTAAGCATGTAGCTGCTAACCAAAACGTTGGCAGTTCAAATCCACCAGCTGCTCCTTGGAAACCCCATCGGGCAGTTCTGCTCTGTCCTTTAGGGTCACTGTGAGTCGGAATCAACTCGATGGCAATGGGTCTGGTCACCTTTCTGCTTTTTTATTATTTCACTGCTTATTTAAGCCTTCCCCTAGAGATGGGACATAGAAAGGAGAGAGGACCAAAATCATTTACTTTTGTTAACTATTCCATATTTAATAAAAACTTTAAAAATCTTTACAATAAAAAAAAAAAATGAGTTCAAAATAACTATAATGTAGAGCCAAAGTAAAGAAATGTTCTTTATTGCAAATTCTTTCAATTGCTGGTATGTCTTCAATCAGCAAGTTGAGAAATCAAACATTTTTACTTACTAAGTTGTGCCTAAGTATATATGTGAAAAAGGAAAGTGCTATTTGGGAGTTTTCTTCATTGTTATAAAATATGACATCTGTTCTTCCGATTATGGAACAGTACTTTTGCATCTGATGTATCTTTTTCAAAGTGGAATCATGATCACCCTTATAAACCGCAACTTTGAAATGAAAAAACAACATGGGTCAGAGAAGCCATAGAGTGAGATCTGTCAGGGAATGGGCTTATAGGAGGATTTTTGAATAATCTCAAGAAAGAAGGGGAACACAAAGAAAATCTTCAGAAAATTCATACAGATGCCCTGATCTGCAGTATATTCTAAACAAAGACCACAGGCCAAGGTAAATTCAATAGAATGGAGGTTCTCAACTGGCAGCATGTCAGAATCACCATTGAAACTTACAAAAATACAGATGCTCGGATCCCATCGGAGACCTACTAAACCAAAATCCCTAAGGGTGTGATCTAGTAGGCCTATATTTTTAAAAAATTCTGCAAGTGATTCTGACGTTCAGCAGCATTAATAATCAGTACAATTCTTATTAAAGAATAATAGGAACTATATGCCCCCAAACAACTGTGAAAGTCTGACTTAAGGTAATTATGTTGTGAGCTATATATTGGTGTTTGACAACACAAACATTATAAAGTCCTCTCTAACCCATTCATGAAGGACAGAAACAGAAATGGGCAACAGCTGTTGTAACTATAATTCACTAATTCCTCTTTGCTAATTAGAATTCGGTGAGCCCTGCCTATGTTCCTGAGTGAGGGTAAGATGGGAGATGTGAATCTGCTATTGTTTTACTTGATCTCAGTACCTCTTGCTTCTTATAGTTGAACACTTCATCATAGTGTGTGTGATGCCAGTGTTTAAAGATGCAGTAATGTGTAAATATAAGTTTGCATATGTATTCTTTATTAGATATTCTACATTACTGTATGGTTAAGTGTGTATATTGTAAATTTGTCCACTATTACTGTGCATAGTTTTGTACATAAAGCCATACTTATGCACTTGATGGGCAGTTTAAAAGATTTTTCAAGATTAATTTTGACTCTATATGATTTTTTCCCTGGAACCCAAACCCCACATAGGATATAACTCTACTGTCATGCACTCCACTGCACTGTAAGCTCTTCCAGAGAATAGACCGTGTCTTAATCATTTTTTTTTTTCCTTAGCATTAAGCAGTGTATGTTGAATGGATAAAAAGAAATCTTTCTATATCCAAAGACAAATGGTCCACAGTCCCTTATCCAAAAATTCAGGAGTTCAGAATTTTTCAGATTTTAGAAAGGTGATATGGTACATATGCTGTATGTTACCTAACACTCCAACTAAGTAAACATATTAACATACATGGAGTAAAATGTATGAATAATTAAGGGCTATAAATAATTCAGGTCAGATTTTGCCACCAAATAGGGTTGCACCAGACTGTCAAAAAACTTCATGTAATGGATTTCAGATGAGGGATTCTGAACTTGTATTCTTCATTGATGATCAATAATAACAGTTACTGATTGAGCACCTGCTATGTGGCAGGCACTGAGCTAGGCAATTTATATACATATCTCATTTAATAATGACGGTCCAGCAGGTTAGATCTCCCCATGATACAGTTAATTTCGCATTATTTAGTTGACTTTGATAACTTTTCCTCTCCCTCATTGAAAGACAAAGAAACCACCTCATTAAAAAATATACATAAGATTAAAATGAACCCACAAATCTAACAACAGAGTTCTAAAACTAATTGAAAATAGGTGCTTAATTGCTTTTTGGATGATGAATAAATAGGATCCACAGAGGTGTCATTAGAAATATGTTGCTAGGATGCTTTAGGGTTGCAAAAATGTGATACAATTTGTTTAGACTCTTGGGGAATAAAAGTAGGAGGGCATTACATCTTATCTGTCTGGTTTAAGTATTGATTTTTTCTCTCTGTGTGTCCTGTTTCCCATTAGAGTAGATGTTTTCCAAACTAAGCATAACGTCTTCCTCCTGGACCACAGTGTTGACGAAAGCAGGTTGGAGTACCCAAGAAAGTTAACTGTTTCGAATCATAACTCAGTGTTTCTCAAATTTTAGTATGCCTAAGTGTCACATGGAAAGCCTGGTGGTGTAGTGGTTAAGAGCTACAGCTGCTAACCAAAAGGTTGGCAGTTCGAATCTACCAGGTGCTCGTTGGAAACCCTACAGGGCAGTTCTACTCTGTCCTGTAGGGTCACTATGAGTCGGAATCGACTCAACAGCAATGGGTTAAGTTTGTTTTTTTTTTAAGTGTCACATCTGGGGCTTGTTAGAAATGAGATTTTCTGAGCCCTGCCCCCCTTTCTCAAAGAGATTGATTCAGGGGATCCCCAGTGTGAGCCAGCACTCTGCTATTTTAACAAGTACCCCAGTGTTTCTGATGCAAGTGGTCTGGGGATGACACTTAGAGAAACACTGGCATAACTACAAGCATTGGGGGCTAAAATAACCTGTGTTATGGAATCACGGGATAAATATTTCTCCTTTGACTCAGTCATCAAAGAGCCCCGAGAATTTGGTTTAGTGATTGGAAGGTGACTGTCGTACAGAGAAAACCCTGTGAATGACCAGGCACAGGGAACAATTCCTGTAAAAATTACAGACATGAAAAGAGTTTTGAAAAGTTACCTCCTCTATCACCCAGCCTTGGGGCTAGGTGAAATCTAATCTGTCTTATGTGGATGAAAATTTATTCTGTTTTTAAAAGACATAGTAAAGCCTGTTGTCTTGGTGTAACTAACCTTAGCTAGGCAGCGGAGCTGCACGCTTATGGAAAATCACATTTTTTTCCTCCTGACAAGGTTTAGTCTGCCCCTAGACTAAAACAAAAAAAGTGGCTCCTGAGACTAAAAAACAGAACATATGAAAAATACCAGCGTTGGTGGTAGGAAAAGTAGACTTAAATTCTTTATGAAGAATTTTTTAGGTTTTTTTTTCTTTCAGATGTATGCATGTATTAACTACAACTTTACTTACTGTAAAGGTTTTGGTTTTATGGGAAAATATAATCTTATTTATAACTTCTGCACTTGCCTTACAAATGAGCGTAAAGTCGTTGATTTATATTTTCCTCTCATCTTAAGCTCTAAAGGTCTAGGAAGGAACAAAACTTTGCTTACACCAAAATCCCTTTCGTGACAGTCTCCCTCTGTAGAAGTAAGCCCCCAGATGTAGTCTGTATCTCAGCCACATGTTCGTGTCCTTCATTGCGCAGCACATAATGTAAGTGCTTGTTCCCTTGTTCCTGTCTTCCTCCTCCATCAGACTCTTAAGTTTCATCAGGATGAGACTTTTTCTGTATCCTAGCACTTGGCGCATATTAGGCACTCAATATTGAATAAGTGAAAATCTTGGTTATGAAATTCTTCTTGTCAAAGGAAGAGGTGGAGGAAAGGCAAATAGGTTGGGTCTGGAGGGCTAAGTTTTATTCACTTAATTTCTCTGTCCTGCTTTCTCATCTAGAAATGGAAATTTTATCTGTTTTACCTTGAGGGTAAAAATGAGATAATGGATAAAGAGTGCTTAAGATAAATTATACAAATGCTTTGTGATATAATTTCGAAAATGTGCTTGCTAAGGGTAAAAATGAGATAACAGATAAAGAGTGCTTAAGATAAATTATACAAATGCTTTGTGTTATAATTTTGAAAATGTGAGCTTGCTTGAACTGGAGATAAAAACCCATTGCCATCAAGTCGATTCCGACTCATAGCGACCCTATAGGACAGAGTAGAACTGCCACATGGGATTTCCAAGGAGCGGCCGGTGGATTCAAACTTCCGACCTTTATGGTTAGTAGCCAAGCTCTTAACCACTGCGCCACCAGGGCTCCTGAACTGAAGATAAGGAACTAAAGTATTATAACTTTTTTTTATAGAAGATTATTTAGAAGGCATTCCAATTTTAAATGCATGGTGGCACAATTTTTTTTTTTTTTTTTGTACTTTTACTGGAAACGTGAGTGTTTAAATAGGTTATCATTGGGAGGATTAACTTTTAGAATATTGTACTGTAAAGCCACAGTTTTATTTAATTCTCACCAACATGAAAGTGCCCTGTGGTAGATTCACAGATAATTATTTTCTTTGCAAATGTATCTACTTAACTACATTAATAGGTTATTAGGACTTTGATAAGTAATATGGTTTTCATAATTAGTATATATTAGTCTTAAAATTTGAAACTCTTGTGTTGGTAGAAAGAAAACTAGGTCCTTAATATGGAGAATTTGTATTCGAGGTTTTTATTTTCTGTTTCATATTAATGCTTTTAAGAAGTACAGCTTTACTTGTTGCAAAGGTTTTGGTTCTACAGAGAAATTATAATCTTATGTTTTTATCTTCTGCCACTGATTTAGAAAGGAGCATGATGTCACTCACTTAGCATTCTTTTTGCACTGAAAGTAAACTGTGAAGGCCAAGGAAGGAACCAAATTTTGTTTAACCTAAATTTCTTCTATATACCTTGCAGGAATATATATTTAAAAGCCCACAAAGACTTGTTAATGTTTGCAGTATGAGGCTGAGCTTTTTTCCTAGCAAGATCATTTCCATAAAATGTATGTTTCATGATTAGAGGGTATAAAATGCTAGATGACAAATTTGATGGTTGTGAGTGGCTATTACACTAAAGTTATTACTAAATCCATTAGTTCAGAAACTTCTTTTTTAATTGATTTCACATCTACTAGGAGCAGTGATTTAGAAACTGACTTGTTAGTGGAGATTCAATAAAGTTACATTCAGTTCTGCTTACAGCTTTGAAGGGACCTAACTGCAGCGCTGCCATCTGAACAATCTCCACGCACAGATCATTTGTGGCCGGGTCACACCGCCTGGTTATTTGGTGCCTCGCTCTCATATTCTACACTTAGAAGCATTTGTTTTAATACTCTTCTATCGTTAGTAAGATGCCAAGAATTACTGCTACATATAGGAAGTATGTTTTTATTATTTTTGCAAAAATATATTACTGAAGCTAACAGATACTCATTTCTACTGCATTAAATGCTATATGTCTTTCAGAGGATCATAAAACAGGAGTTGGAGCAGTCATTTGGGCAGAAGGGAAATCTGTAAGTATAAAAATAATTTTTTAAACATTTATCCTTGATTTTGTTTAAACATTGTTCAATCTTAAGTGAGTTACATCTTATTGACTCATTTGGATTAATATTTTTATATTGGTGTATTTATTAAATTCTATAAACATTTGCTCATTCGCTCAACAATTTTCTAGATAATTTCCATCATATAGCAAACATTTATTAAACACCTTCTAAAGAGTAGGCAGGAGTCCCTGGGTGGTGCAAACCCTTAAGCGCTTGACTACTAGCCAAAAAGGTTGGCAGTTCGAATCCACCCAGAGGTACCTCGGAAGACAAGCCTGGCAATCTGCTTCCGAAAGGTCACTGCCTTGAAGACGCTATGGAGCAGTTGTCCTCTGCACGCACAGGGTTGGCACAAGTCATAATCAACTCGACAGTAACACAGCAGCAGCAAAGGGTAGGCACTGTGCCACCATGAGCATTGGCGATCTAAAGAGCACATTTTCTGCCTTTCATAGTTTCACAGTCGAGTAATGGAGACAGAGGCATAAAAAGGAGACTGGACTGTAATTATAATTATAACATGATACCGTGAGAGCACAGAGAAGCCACCTTTATTCTGCTTGGAGAAAAGAGGAAAATATTCTTGGAGGAGGAAATGTGATAATAGTCTTGAAAAAGGAATGGGAGTTCATCAGGCAGAGCAAGTTACGGGGCTAGGAGGATAGCATGCAAAGGTAGAGGATGGGAGAGGATGTGGGGAAATGCAAGTGATGTGGCATGGCCCTATGTGTACTAGAGTGGCAAAAAAAATTGGACTGGACCGTGAAGAACTCTGTACACCACGTGAAGAGTTTGGACTTAATCCTTCAGATACTGGGACACCCTAGCACAGCACTAGCCAGTAGAAACATAAGGCGAGCCACATAGGTAATCTAAAATTTTCTAGGAGCCATATTAAAAAAAAAAAGAAACCAGTGAATTCACTTTAAGACTGTATTTTATTTAATGCAGTATGTCCAAAATATTATCATTTCAACATGTAATCAATATAGAAATTATTAGTGAGATATTTTGTTTCGGGGAGGTACTAAGTCTTTAAAATCCTGTGTGTATTTACACTTACAGCGCATCTCAATTTGGACTAAGCACATTTCAAGTGCTCAGTAGTCACGTGTGGCTACTGACTACTGTATTGGACAGTGTAGTCCAAGAGTATTTTAAGTGGGAAATGATTTTATCATATTTGCATTATAAAAAGATTGGAGTAGGGGTAGGCAGGAAATAGGAAGATTAATAAAAAAATGATGAGAGCCTGGAGTTATAGGTAGGGATTAGAAGGGTGTGAAATCAAGAGATATTTCATAGCTATACTGTTGTTAGTTGCCTTCAAGTGTGCTCCAACTCTTGGTGGCCTTATGTATAACACAATGAAACATTGCCCTGTCCTGTTCTGCACCATCTTCATGATCCTTGGTATGTTTGAAATCATTGTTGTGCTCTTGTCTTCCAACCTAGGAGAGTCATCTTTCAGCACTATATCGGACAGTATTTTGTTCTGATCCATAGGGTTTTCACTGGCTAAGTTATGGAAGTAGATCACCAGGCCTTTCTTCCTAGTCTGTCTTAGTCTACAAGCTCAGCTGAAACCTGTCCACCATGGTGACTCTGCTAGTGTTTGAAATACCGGTGACATAGCTTCCACCATCATAACAAAATGCAAGCCACCACAGTATGACAAACTGACAGACAAGTGGTGGACTGAAATATGAATAGGGATCTTAAGTTTTGCTTCACTGGACTTACCAGCAAGTAATTTGTCTATTGTCTTAGATGTTTCATAGGCTTCTCAGGTTCAGCCACACATAGGCTCCTCAGGACAGCACACCCAGTATCTTCCCTCCTAACCTACTTCATCAGTGGTCACCATCTCATTCCCAGTTACTCCGTACATGTAACCAATCATCAGATCCTATGGATTCTACCTTCAAAATACCTCTTGACTCTGTTTATCTCTACCCTAGCTGTAAACTTCTACTAGAATAGATTCCTCTGTCAAAAACTCCCATAGCGTTCTGTACAACTCATATTCCAAACTGTTTTAAGCACTGATGATAAACTCTATAATAATTGATAATTGATAAATTTAAAGTTCTAATAATTGATAAAGCATTCATATTAACAACTACTGTATCATTGACCAAGAGAAATGTTTTTATAAAGCCACTGAAGAAGTCCTATGATAAGATATACATACAAGAAAGACTCAATCAATATTGAAGATTAAAGGAAAGTGCATTTTTTATTTTCAAATTAAGTCACAAGGCCACATTTTTAGCCCTACAACAGAAGTTGTCTATTCAAAGTATTTTTAAAGTTCCTGGCTTGTTAACCAGTAGCACAACACAGAGCATATAAAAAAGAAGCTAATAAACAATCATTTATTGAATACTTGCTGAGTCAGAATTGACTCAACGGCAACAGGTGTACTTGAAGTATAAAACATGGTTTCTGCTCTCCAGGATCTTATTTGGGGAGAGGTGCCTAAATCAAGTGAAACAATTTGTGATTTAAACAAGAAAATAATTAACTGCTAAAACCAAGTACTGCCTTGAGATTATAAATTAGACAAGTGATCAGCCTTCTTAGAATTTACTTTGACAAGACTACACTGCAGTGTGAGGATCTCATATTGTCTTTATTGATGACACAGTATATCATAGAAAATGTAGTGAATATCCTGTATATAAAGTGTGATACTAGGTTTTAAAAATACGTTGCAAAGTGCCTTTTCAGTGTTGAAAACTAAGCTCTGTTGGTTTGCTCACTTTCATAGAGAAATTGTGATGGAACAGGAGCATTGTACTTCGTAGGATGTGGCTATAATGCTTTTCCTGTTGGATCTGAGTATGCTGACTTTCCCCACATGGATGACAAACAGAAAGACAGAGAAATAAGGAAATTCAGATACATTATACATGCGGAACAGAATGCCTTGACATTTAGGTATGATATTCTTTTGCATGTATTTTTAAAAATATTTTGTTGTGTTTTTAGTGAAAGTTTACTTACACAGCACGTGAGGTTCCCCTTTGACAATTTCCACCTCAGTAAGATTAGTTACATTTTTCACGTTGTATCGGCGTTCTCGTTATTTGTCTTCTGGTTGTTCCATTTCCAGTAGTCTAGATTCCCTGACCCCTTATCTTCTCGTCTTTGCTTTGGAATAAATGTTGACCTTTTGGACTCATACAGATGTTTTTTTAGTAGAGTACTGATCTAATGGGTGATAGCCTTTATTTTGTGCATCGCTGTGCTTTTCTGTTAGATGATCACGGGAGTAGTTTTGGTTCAAGATTTGAAGAGCATCTCAGGGTGATAGTCTCAGGGCGTCCTCTGGTCTCAGTGGTCCAGGTAATCTGGCCATTTTTATGAATTTGAGTTTTGTTCTGTATTTTTCTCTCATTCTAAACAGGATCATCTGTTGTGGCCCTAGTCAGATCAGTCAGAGGTGATACCAGGCACCATCTAGCTCTTCTGGTCTCAGGGTGGTTGAGGTCGTGGCTCGTGTAGGCAGGCAGCCTTGTAGACTTGTTTCTTCTTTGTGATTTGGTTACCTTTTTACTCTTTTGCTCCTGATAAGTAGGCACCACTTTTGCATGTATTTTTCTCTAAAATGTAGCAAGGCTTGCTTGAAATTTGTTTTTTTTAGTTATAATGTATTTTCTTTTTCAAATTCCAAGAACTATCCTTTTCAGAAGTATGTTGTTGTCCTGTGCCATTGAGTCAATTCCGACTCCTAGCAACTCCATAGAACAGAGTAGAACTGCTCCATAGCGTAGGCTGCAATCTTTACGGGAGCAGATCGTCAGGTTTTCTCTCCCGCAGAGTGCTGGCGGGTTCGAACTGCCGACCTTTCAGTAAGCAGCCTAGCGCTTAACCATTGCACTACCAGGGCTCCTCTTTCAGAAGTATAACTCTGCTGAAACTTGGTCGTGACCAGAGGTCATTGTCATAGATTCTTCAGGCCTTCAAATTTATTGAGCAAGTCTTTTTTCTTCCCTCTGTCTCCAATCTAAAACTACTTGAAGTTTGTCCTTAGGGTCTTGCTTGAGCTCTAATATTTCTGGATGTTAAGATCTTCTTTGTTTTCTAAAATCTGGAGCACATATATTTATGAATATATAGATTTTATTCTGAACCAAACTGCTTTAAAATAATTTTGTTAGAGATTGTAACTGATGTTACCTCCTTCTAACATTAATTTAGATTATTTACACAAGTATTTTTCAGCATTTACCATTAAGGGGATGATTTTAGGAGTTTAAAAAGTGAATAAGACAGGGGTCTGTCCTTGAGGAGCTCATAATGCATTAGGTGATGTAAGACTGCATCTACTTAATGGGATTGATTCTATGAGAAAAGCAAATACAAAGTGTTGTAGAAATTCAGGAGGCATGTGGACTGGGAGGGAGAGTGCAGGGAAAAACTTTATGGAAGAACTGACATTTGAACTAAACTTTAAAGGATTGGTAAGATTGTGGCAATTGAAAGTGCTTATGTGACAAGAAAGCCATTCTTGCTTCTGGCATAAGCAATGGTTTAGAAGTAGGAAAACATATTGTGTGTTTAGGAACATGAATAATCCAGTTACGCTGGATGTAAAGTCATGGGAAATGAAGTTCAAAAGGATAGGTTGGGACTGGACAACAGAGGACTTTGAGTTTAGACTGTATTTAGCAGGTGGGGGGGTGGGGGCAGAATGGAATGCCATTGACAGAGCTATACACTATAGATTCCTCAGGTAGCAGGTGTATTGTTTGGACTAGATGTTTAGAGTTCTGTTGCCCTAGTTCAGGTGTACAGTAATGCAAGTCTGATCTAGGGAGATAGTTATGGAATGCTGGCGGGGGGAGGACTGACAATGGCCGACTGAGAGCAGTGCAAAACCCAGAACCCAGAACTACCATCCTTGTAGCCTCACATGAGAGCATTCCTTAGTCCTAAAACTACCCTCAGCATGCCAGATTTCACGAAAACTCCTCTATTCTTTTGTTTGTGTTCTTTATTACAGATGTACTTACCTTATTTTTTACAGAGCTATGAATATGTCAGATCCAAACCTTTGTTAAATAAAACTCTATGTTAGGGAAGGAGTAAGGGAATTTAACCCAAAACAGAATTTAATATTAATTTATCCATTTAGTAAACATTTATTAAATATCCATTCAGTGCTGGATAAAGGCTAGGTTCTTGGCTACCACAATGAGTTAATGTCTGTATTATGGCTAGGTCTTATGGAGAGCGTTAGTTCTAACCCCGATTCTGGCATTATAAAGAAGTTCTCTACTTACGGAGAGCGTTAGTTCTAACCCCTAATTCTGGCATTGTAAAGAAGTTCTCTACTTACTGAGAAATAATTATTTTCTCTTTTTATCTCCATCTTTCTATTTATTTATTTTTTAATTGTGATGTGTGTGTATATATATATATAATTTTAACATAATATACAGACATACATTTATATTTATATACACACATTTATATTTTTATATATAACAAACATTTGCCAATTCAACATTTTTACATATACAGTTCACTGATTATGTTCATCATGTTGTGTAACTATCACCACTGTTTGTTTCCAAATTATTCCACCACCATTAACAGAAACTCAGTACCCCCTAAACAATGATTCCCTCTTTCCCCCTCCCACCACTCCTGTTAACCACTAATAATCTTTGGTCTGTATACATTTGCCTATTCTAGATATTTTAAATAAGTAGGATCCTACAATATTCGTCCTTTTGTGACTGACTTGTTTCACTCACCATAATGTTTTCAAGATTCATCCATGTTGTGGCGTGCATCAGGCCTTCATTTCTCTTAATGGCTGTGTAGTATTCCATTGTATGTATGTACCACATTTTGTTTATTCATTCATCTGTTGATGGACAGTTAGGTTGTTTCTATCTTTTGGCTATTGTCAACAGTGCTGCGATGAACACCCAAATGCATTCTTTATGTTTCTACAAATTGAATGATACTTCTACTGATGAAATCCAAGGAGAAGGTAAATAAAGTATATATTTTATGATTAACAGTGGTGTCTGAACAAACTCTTGCTGGGATGTATCTATCTTATCTATCTTCGTCTTGGAAGGATATAGCAGGACACTGTTACTGACTCAGACCAGTTTGGTTAAATACAACTGCTAGGTTTTTTTTACAAAATGTAACTTCTAAGATGGCACATAGTAGTTGTTCAGTACATATTTCTTTAATAAATAGTTAGAGGTAGGTCAGTGTAAACTATTTCCCTCAAACCTTGCTGCAGTAAAAGCAAGTCTTTTGCCAAAATCTGCCACACAAACAGACAAACCTTTATTAGATAAAATTTTATCAGTAAGTCAGCATAAAAACAGTCATATAACTTGCAGGCTCGTTGAACTCCCAGTTCTCTGTCCTTCTATATGCTCCAATCATTCTTTGCATGACATTCTTTTTTTTTTCCTAAATTTTATTTATATTATTGTTGTTCAGAATATACACAGCAAAGTATATATCAATTCAACAGTTTCTACATGTACAATTTATTGACATTGGTTACATTCTTCTAGTTGTGCAGCCATTCCCACCCTCCTTTTCTGCCCCCTAAGTTTCCTATCTAGTCTTACAAGTTGCTGTTGTCATATTTCATCCCATATAGATACTTCTTAAAAGAGCATAGTGCTCAAGCCTGATCTTTTTTACTAGTTAAGCTAAACTATTGCTCTGTTTTAAGATGACTTCAGGGGATATTTTTTAACATTTAAATATTATCTGAGGGCAGTAGTTTCAGCGGTTCATCCACCCTCCATGGCTCCAGAAAGCCTAGAGTCCATGAGAATTTGAAATTCTGTTCTGTATTCCCCCCCTTTTTTTTTTTAATTTTTTATTGTTGTAGTTCAAGTGAAACTTTACAATTCAAGTTAGTCTCTTATATAAAAATTTATACATACATTGTTATGTGACCCTAATTGCTCTCCCTATACTGTGACAGCACACTCCTCCTTTCCACCCCTGATTTCCTGTGTCCATTCAACCGGCTCCTAACCCTCTCTGCTTTCTCATCTCACCTCTGGACAGAAGCTGCCCATTTAGTCTCATGTGTCTATTTGATTTAAGAAGCACACTCTTCACGAGTATCATTTTATGTCCCATAGTCCCGTCCACTCTTTGTCGGAAGAGTTGGCCTCAGGAATGGTTTCAGTTCTGGGTTGACAGAGAGTCTGAGGACCATGCCTTCTGCGGTTCCTCTAGTCTCAGTCACACCATTAAGTCTGGTCTTTTTACTAGAATTTGAGTTCTGTACCCCACCTTTCTCCTGCTCCATCAAGGACTCTCTGTTGTGTTCCCTGTCAGGGTGGTCATTGGTGGTAGCTGGGTACCATCTAGTTCTTCTGGTCTCAGGATGATGAAGTCTCTTGTTTATATGGCCCTTTCTGTCTCTTGGGCTAATACTTTTCTTGTGTCTTTCGTATTCTTCATTTTCCTTTATTCCAGATAGTTGGGACCAATTGATGCATCTTAGATAGCTGCTTGCTAGCTTTTAAGACCCCAGACTCTGCTCATCAAAGTAGGATGCAGAACATTTTCTTAATAAACTTTGTTATGCCAGTTGACCTAGATGTCCCCTGAAAACATGGTCCCCAGACCCACCCTTGCTACTCTGTCCTGCTAAGTGTTTGATTTTATTCAGGGAACTTCTTGGCTTTGGTTTAGTCCCATTGTGCTGATTTCCTCTGTAGGGTGTACTGTCCTTCCCTTCACCTAAGATAATTCTTGTCTACTGTCTAGTTAGTGAATAACTGTCACGTCCCTCCCCACGCTTATAACCATGAGAGAATGTCTTCTTCTGTGTTTAAACCTTTTCTTGAGTTCTTATGATAGTGGTCTTATACAATATTTGTCCTTCTGTGAGACTGACTAAAGTCACTCAGCATAATGCCCTCCAGATTCCTCCA